TATATAGTCTGATCCAAACGAATTTCTGAGGTCACATATTGGGCCTACAGATCTTGTATTCCCTAAAGACAGAAGATCTGTATCTATTTAAAGTAATTGCTGCTTCCCAAATATGTAGGAGACAACAACCACTATCTATAGTCTTCTGGTGTTGAGCAGAGAATTACTTCTCATTGGGTCAAAGATTGAGTATATGTCGTAATGGCCAGAGGCCAGAGTGTCAGGGGGTGGCGTAAAATTCCAGGAGTAGAGTCCATCTTTAAACTACACTTAAGGTATGGTGGTGTTTTGGATTTGGCAGCCTTTTCCTCCTAAAAAGTAATATTAATTCTGTTATACATATGAATTTTTTTTAAAATAATATTTTTACATTATACATATCTATCTCTACGGAAAGTTAATGTCAGTCCCCTTCTATGCTTTTTATATGTATATTTTATATGTTTTAATAAATATATATTCATACATTTTCTGTATCTATATATACTTAAAAGGCAAAAGATGAAGTGACTTTCAAAGAACACGATATATATGTATATGTACATATATATCATGTTTACTTTTTGTTTTTTTAATAAATGAAATTATTAGATATCATTTTTTATTAGAGTGGATTTCTATTAATTTTATTACCCTAGAATGGATTATTTTCATGCTTTTTTTTATAACTCCTACAACAGTTATTATAAGGAGTAATCTCTTTTTTACTGCTCAAATATACTGTTTGAGATGTTAATACCTTCTAATATGTTACTTATTTTGATAATAGGTCTGCAACATTAAATTGTATCGAAACAGACTCAAAAGGGTTAAACGTGTTACAGTGTAGTGAGACATATATATGTGGATTACTAGAATGACGTCCAATCCTAATGAAGTAGGACACTATATCACGAAATGTACTGACTTTTGAGGCTGGGTTAAAGGCGTTCCAAGAGGTGGACAGATATGAAGAGAGATACTGAAAATCTGGCAATTCAACTCTGCATGTGGTCTGTACTGACTGTAGTGGTTATGACGCCAGTTGTATCCTGGTCCTCTTTCCCAGCAGTGGAGCAAACCATTTAACAACAGTTTGCCCTCTTAACAGGGACACTGTTGTCTATGATGATATTCTGCTTTTGCAGAGCTGTAGAAACCAGAAGTTGATCCCGCTGGCCATCCATTGGCGGAGAGTGTCAGTTGATTGCCCTCAGCCAATGAATGCAATTCTGATCACAGGACTATGCACAGAATTGACAGTAGCCGGACCTCTTGCTCCAGACTGGATAATGACGCCTCTATGACTGTGCTCAAGTTGGTGTTATTCCTCCGTGGCGAAGGGGTTAAACTATTTGGCAAAATTCTTTCCCGACAGAGATCAGGCACCGTGATCAATAAATCACTTCAGATCATTGAAGGGTTGGTGGTGCTTGGAGTAATCATTTAACATTTCCCATTATTCTCTGTGGGAGATATTATAATGTCAGCCAGGAATGGCTAGTCACTAGCATTCACAACAATTATATCCGTAATTAGAGACTTGTCAGTAAAACTTAAAGATAACATTGGAAATGAACACTAAGTACTCATGGAGCTGTAATTTCAACTATGCACAAGGTGCTTGTACAATATGATCCATTTCCCTCTTCTTTGGTCTGTCTCTAAGGTTAATGAACTGAAGCAACAGAATTGGTACAACTACCCATCACTTACTGACGGTAGGATAACTTTTAATAAGGTTATGAGTTGGGGCAACTTCTTTGAAAATTACACCATTGAATAAAACATTTAACAAATTGCATTGCAACCCATTTCAATCAGGGCAAACATTGCAAATGAAGAGGTGAAGCGAACATTGTGTCGTTTCTCCTCTTTTCTCTCTGTTTTCTCTTAGCTGACTGCCAGGTGCAAAGGACAGAGTTTATTCATAATAGGGAGCCAAGATGGAGGCACCCAGTTACAGGATAAAGCACAGAGAATGATTAAGATCCCACAGGGACCTGAGTGTGTGTATGCGTATCTGCCTTTAAAACCATGATTGGTACCCTTTCACATCAACAGCAGTGGGAGGAAGTCAGTGCATACAGAGAGTGCCGCACAGGAGGCAGAGACAGCACAGGCAGGATGGGGGAGTGAAACCCACTTGGAGGGCACATCAGATGGCCCATGCACTTAGAGCCACCCGATGGGTGTTGCTGAAATAGAAAAGATTTTGTCGTTTTGCTGAAAGAGGCCCGGTAGGGCGTTACGGCTCTTTAAGAGCGCTACTGGAGGCAGAGAAGGAAAAGGTGGCACAGGCAGAAAGGGGGAGAGAAGCAAGTGCTCCCATCAGCCTCAGCCAGCAGCAGCAGGCCCCCATGCGAGCCACCCTCCTACAAATAAAAGATATGCTAGCAGGAGGGTGGCTGCAAATATAAAAATTACCACATGTATGTGTGTCAGTTTGTGTGTATCTGTGTGTCAGTGAGTGTATAAGTGTGTCAGTGAGGGTATCAGACTGTGTGTATGTGCCAGTGTGTGTATTTGTATTTGTGTGTCAAGGTATGTGTATGTGTCAGTGGGTGTATCTGTGTGTCAAGGTTAGAGTATATGTATCACTGTGTGTATCTGTGTGTTAAGGTGTCTGTATGTCTGTATGTGTCAGTGTGTGTGTCTGAGAGTGTGTGTATTTATAAGTATGTGTATCTGTGTGTGTGTATGTTTCAGTGTGTATGTAGATCTTTGCAAGTATTATTATTATTATTATTGGTATTTATATAGCGCCAGCTTATTCTGCCGCGCTTTACAAGAAGCGGGGAATTTACCAAATGAGACAATAACAAAATGTAACAGGAACAATAGGTAGTTGAGGACCCTGCTCAAACCAGCTTACTGTCTAGAGGAGGTGGGGTATAAAAACACAATAGGAAGAGTATTAAGGGAGACAGCAAATAGACATGGTGGGAAAGTAGCAGAACTGGAGGTGAGAGTGGAGTGGGCCCTTTAGGAGAGAGCAAGAGGAAGGTTTGAGAGATAGAAGTTACTCTTGGAGGCTATAAGCAATCCTAAAAAGATCTGTTTTGAGGGACTTCTTAAAGTATTGAAGACTAGGGGAGAGTCTGACAGGGGTAGGCAGGCTGTACCAAAGGAAAGGAGGCACCTGCGAGAAGTCTTGCAGGCGTGAATTTGCAGACAGGAGACAGTCACCAGTAGAGTGGAGAGACCGAGAGGGGGCATACCTATGAGTCAGTGAAGAAATATAAAAGGGGCTAGAGTTGGTTAGGACTTTATAGGTAAGGGTTAGTTTTTTTTAAATTGACACCTGTAGGGTACAGGAAGCCTGTATAAGGATTGACAGAGGGGTGAGGTGTGAGAGGAGCAACAGGAGAGAAAGATAAGCCTGGCAGCAGACCAATTGGGGAGACCAATTAGAAGGGAATTACAAATCCATGCGAGAGATTACTAGAGCATGATTAGCAGCATCTTGTGTAAGAAAGGGGCACATGCATATGTCAGTGTACACACATACACTATACAAAAATATGCTTACATTCAAATGCACAAACACTGCTCACGAATACAACCAGCGGTGTATTTACTGCAAGGTTGACAAGGCATTTGCCTGTTGGGCGGCACTTTCAGGGGGGTGGGAAAAAAAGCTGCCCCCAAATGCCCTGGCAAATGCCTTGCCAGACTCTTGTCCTGGAGGGCTCAGGAGCTGGCCGGGTGGCCAGTGGCATACTAAGGGGAGGGGGAGGGGTCCTCCCTGGGTGCCATCAAGTAGGGGGGTGCTACCAGGGCTGGCCAGGCTTGGAGTTCAGTGAGCTGTGTGGCTGCACCGGGTGCCATAGCAGCAGGGGCGCCGGGCAGCCGACACAGCTCACACGCAGGGGCTGGGAGCAAGCAGGAAACCTGTACGGAGATTTGGGGCGGAGCCAAGTGGGGTGTGGGGGCGGAGCTAAATGCAGCCTCTTACTGCTCACACAGAGGGGAAGCAGGAAGGAGTCCCTGCTTCCCCAACTACAGCACAGCAGGGACTGAATCCTCTCCTCCTCCAGCCCAATCTTACTGTAAGTGAGTGAGTGTGTGCTGTGTGTAACTGTGATTGTGACTGTCTTTGACTGTGTGTGTGTGTGTGTGTGACTGCCTGTGATTGTCTGCCTGTGACTGACTGTGTGTGTGATTGTCTGCCTGTGTATGTGACTGTCTGCCTGTGATTATCTGCCTGTGATTGTCTGTGTAACTCTATGTGTGTGATTGTCTGCCTGTGTGTGTGTGTGTGTGACTGTCTTCGTGTGTGTGTGTGTGTGTGTGTGTGTGTGTGTGTGTGTGTGTGTGAACTGTCTGCCTGTGATTGTGGGTGTGTGTGTGAGTGACTGTGACTGTGTGTGTGTGACTGTCTGCCTGTGATTGTGGGTGTGTGAGGACTCTGTGAACTGTCATGTGTGTGTTTGACTGTCTTTGATTGTGTTATGTGTATGTGTGACTGTCTGCCTGTGTGATTGTGTGTGTGATAGTGTGTGTGTGTGTCACTGTGTGTGTGTGTGTGTGTGACTGTCTGCCTGTGATTGTCTGTGTGACTCTGTGTGTGTGTGACTGTCTTTCTGTGTGTGTGTGTGTGTGTGTGTGTGTGTCTGTGTGTGTCTGTGTGTGTGTCACTGTCTGCCTGTGATTGTGGGTGGGTGTGTGACTGTCTGCCTGCCTGTGATTGTGTGTGTGTGTCTGTGGCTGTGTTGTGTGTATGTGTGACTGTCTGCCTGTGATTGTGTGTGTGACTGTCTGCCTGTGATTGTGTGTGTGACTGTCTGTGAATCTGTGTGTATGTGTGACTGTCTACCTGTGTGATTGCCTGCGTGTTTGACTGTCTGCCTGTAACTGTGTGTGAGTGACTGTGTGTGGGACTGTGTGCATCTAACTGTGTCTGACGGTCTTCGCCCTGCAGTGAGCCGGCAGCCAGGATATGATGTCATTGCGGCCTCGACGTCATTACAGGGCATGCGATGGACCTGTGCAGGAAGAGCACAGAGATCTCAGCAGCAACCACCAGGGACTGAGGATCCACTCCAGCCCTTCTAGAGCACGGTAGGGAGGCTGGGTGGACCTCTTAATTATTAAATGTGTGTATGCATGTAATGTTTGTGTGTGTATGTGATTGTGTGTCTGTGATTGTATGTGTGTGGGTCTTTGATTTTGTTTGTGTATATCTGTGATTTTGTGTTTGATTGTGTGTATCTCTGTGTATGTGTTTAGTAGATAGCTCCCTTATTTGGTGTCCTTAAATATTGTAATTCCACATAAGGATAACAAATAAGGGATGTATCTACTAAACAACTGAAAATAAGAAAAGAGCTTTTTTAATCTTGATCCTTTAGCTGTTTAGTAGATCGTTCCCTGATTTGCTGCCCGTATGTGAGATTTCCATATTTAAAGATACCAAATGAGGGTGCTGTTTAGCAGATATCTCTTTTATTTGTTGTCCTTAAATATGGCAATCCCACATAAGGATAACAAATAAGGGATTTATCTACTAAACAACTGAAAATAAGAAAAGAGCTTTTAAAATCTTGATCCTTTAGCTGTTTAGTAGATCATTCCCTGAATAGTGATGTCGCGAACCGTTCGCGAACTTCCCGCGAACGGCTCGCCACGGTTCGCCACGAACCGTTCGCGGCAAGCTCCAGTCAGCTGGCACATCCCGGCCAATCTCCAGCAGACCCTCCCTCCCAGACCCTCCCACCTCCTGGACAGCATCCATGTTGAAGGGAAAAAGCCACCAAAATGTAAGCAAATAATTAAAAAAATTTATTGTGAGTGTGTTAGTGTGTGTGTTTGTTAATGTGTCTGTTAGTGAGAGTGTTAGTGTGTGTGTCTGTTAGTGAGTGTTTCAGTGAGAGTGTGTGTGTTAGTGTGTGTGTCTGTTGGTGAGTGTGTTAGTGTGTGTCTGTTGGTGAGTGTTAGTATGTCTGTTAGTGAGAGTGTGTGTGTCTGTCAAAGAGTATGTGTCAGTGAGAGTGTATGTGTCTGTTAGTGAATGTGTATGTCTGTGAGTGTGTGTATGCGTATCTGTCACTGAGAGTGTATATCTGTCAGTCAATGTGTATGTCTGTTAGCGAATGTGTGTCTCTGACACTGAGTGTATATGTGTCTGTCAGTGAGTGTGTATGTGTGTTTGGCATTGTGTGTCAGTGAGTGTGTGTGTCTGACACTGAATGAGTGTGCGTCTGTCAGTCAGTGTGTATGTGTCTTGTCAGTGAATGTGTGTGTCAGTTAGTGTGTCTGTCGGTGAATGTGAGTGTTCGTGTCTGTTTGTCAGTGAGTGTGTATGTTTCAGTGAAAGTGTGTGTTGGTTAAACAGTGTATGTGACAATGACTGTGTATCTGTCCGTTGTCACATATGTCCGTGTATGCATCAGTGAAGGCGTGTGTCTGTTAGGCAAAGAGCGTGTTGGTTTTTAACAGGAAGTGAAATTTAGAAGGGGGGGGGGGGTGTCTGAGTTTTGTCATGCCAAGGGCAGCACAAAACCAGAATACACCACTGAATACAACCCTGCAAACATGGGCAAATTGTAGATTCCCAGCTGGCATAACACCGCGGGGGCTGTACAATAGATGGGAATCAACCTTTTGACCACTCTTTTGCTTGAGGGGGGCCCAAGAAATGTCTTGCACCAGGGCCCTCTCTGCATTAGCTCCACCAAAGCAAGTCATGTAACCAGCGATGCAGATTTCTACATCAGATTTAATTTCTCATATCTCACCAATACGTATCAGTTAAATATAAAACATACACATTATATTAAAAGTCCCAGGAAGTGAAAGTTCCTCTTTAACTTTTATTAATTCATTAATTATTCCACAGCATTGCTATTTACATATATGGGACATTCTATTTAAATAGCACTTTACGTCTAACAGTGTCAATGCTTTAGCCACAGAATGACATTCAATATAAACATTGAGATTCTCCATTAATTACATTTATTGACAGGAAAATCAAAATGCAGCAAAGTTTACGTGAAGAGTTTTTTTTCCCCATCGCTAACATTGGTAAATAAAGTAAATTTACAACAAATCTAAAGGAATTTGATAATGAAAGTGGAAGCACTGTTTATCGCACTCTTGACAAACGACAGTGTCATAAGTTTGGAACGGTGGGACTACAGAGACATCACCTCTTTATTGCCAATGTAAAAAAACTGATAACATTAAACACAGAACGGTGCTAATCCTAAAATTGCACTTAAATGACATAATATGTAGTAGCATTTGCTTTGTTTGTTGTCCTGAAATTAATGACAAGTCTGTGGGAACTCTCCATCAGACAAGAGGGACTTGGTGACATTATGGATGGCCAAAAAACAGAGCAGTGTTTGTAGCTGAGTATCTGAAGCTCAGAACGTATATTGATCAAGGAAAAAATCCTATAGTGTTCTCCCAGTGCACAATCCATTTGTGTTTGTCTGAACAACACTAATTAAGTCTGTTGGATGGAAAAGAACTTTAACAACAGACATCATATGCGTGTTGCAAGTAAAGTAGTGGTTTGTATTCCAATCAGACAAAGCTAAAAGCTAGATTATATAGTCATAGACATGTGAATATCTCATTCTAAAACCATAGACTCTAATATGTACTTGTTATCCCATTTACTTCCATAACAGCCTACAATCGTCTGGGAAATATTAAATGGACAGTCTAAGCACCACAACTACTACTGCAATGTCAGGATCAGCGTGGTAGGGGCATACAGACCTATAAAACAACAAATGGACTTTTATTGTACCGGTCCATGGCCAGTGGCCGGACTAATGGTAGAAGAGGACCGAGAGAATGCCAGGGTCAAGGACAGGAGAAACATTAATAAACGATTAAACAAGCTAAGTTCAAAGTAATACAGGTGTCAAGAGAAACGTTTGAACAGACAAAATTAGATACCAGGAAAAGGATACACAAGTAACGCACTCACAGGGCAACATGGAGTGGGGAGGTAAGTATATATAGGCAGTACTTTATTTCAATTGGTTCATGTCATGAGTGAATTAGAATATTCCTCCACATTATAATTACACACTGAATTCAGTCCGGTGAATTCACCATTTGGACCCAAATTCCCACAAAATCCCGCAGCATTGCAGAGAATGCCGGGGAACCCATGTAAGACCGACATGATGCTGACAAGCACAGAGTATTGTTTATGGTTGCAGGAGTCCCTTGGCGCTGCCTGATAGCAGTCTGTCAAATATTTACAGAAGTTTTATAACTTACCCTGCTGTGTTGGGTATATATCATTAATATTATTAAACAAATAATCACCCCCTCCCTCTTTCATAAACCCCTTTCCCTCTCACCACACTGTCAGCCTCTTCATGCATCCACACTCACATTTACCACTCCTAATCCTGTTAATCTCACCCCCTCCAAACTCACCTGCCACACTCACCCTGTTACATTAACAACCCTTAATCCTGTCACACTCGTCCCTCCTACCATACAACAATTGCCCTGACACACTTACCTCCACTCACCCTGTCACACTCCCTAATCAAACCATGTCATACTCCCGTCCCCTCATTCTCTCTTATGCTCCCCCCCACACACACCCTGTCTATTTACCCCCTTCACCCTGTCACGCTCTCCCTGCCACTGATACCCCTTTATTCACTTTGTCACAGTCACCAGCTGAAGATATTCATCATACATACACAATCAGGAAACATAGCTTTGCCATAAACACAATGCACAAACACAAACACAAAGGCTACAGGCAGACCCTCATACATACAACACACTTCAAGCAACTACCCCATCCACATACGGCCCAAGACAAAAACGCAAACATGCTCACAGAGACATACATTTACACACACACACACACACAAGGATACGTGACAGTGTGCATATACACACTCTTTTTTCACTTTTTTGTTAGTGGGGCCTCATGTTTGAGTTTTGCCTTAGGCCTCTGTCGAGTGTAGCCTAATAAACCTCAGTTGAATCCCAGAATTATGTGTCGTCTTGTTAGTGGGGGGAAAGGGTTATAATCACAACAGCGCTTCTTACAACTTCGAAGAAGAATCAGCGGATTCACTCTTTTCCTGAATGGCGATTCCGTTCTACTAAAGGAATCTGAGTACTAATTGGACAGGCTATTCAGGGAAATACCTTTTGTGGGGTTCCTGTACAATTTTGATATCTTTTTGGGGTGGTTTGTATGCTTTTGTATTATTCCCTGTGCCTGAGAGATAATTGAGACTAACTCTTGGTATCCTGTGTGATATATCATTTATGTCTATACAAATGTATTTTATGCCTTACAAATGTATGCTGTGATTTTTCTTCTCCTTGTATTATTCATGGATTATACTCTCTTACTGACCTCTAACAAATTTTAGATTTGCTACCTCTATGCTATTTTTGTTTGCTCCGACCTTCTTTTTTTCTTGGTCATCATAAGGGCCAGTTAACACTTTATGACTTTGCTTTCTGTTCTATTTGGTTTTGATAGACTTGGGCACTGGGGACATGCTTTTTGTTCTATTTGGTTTTTGATAGGTGTGGGCACTGAAGAAATATAAATTTTTGTCCGAAAAGGTATTTTGTTTCATCAGAACTGAATTTCGTCCATTGACTCTTTCGTTTTCGGAAGAAATTTGGATTTTATTTTCAATTTGGACAGCCCATTCATTTATTCAGCCCACCCCCTAAATCAATGTATTAAAAACGCTTAATCCGAATGCATGAATGGCTCATTCATTCGTTATGTAAACGGTTGTTTAGTTCACTCCCATTATACCTGTAATAAAAAATATATGAAAGTGAGCCGTACTAACAAATGATCACCAAACATGAGAGCCATTTGTGCATTCAGATGACTCGTTTGGCAGTTTCTAATACATATAGGAACAGACAGACAGTACACTGTCTGTCTGTAATTCAAAAGGCCAAACAAGTAATCCGAATGAATAAATGGCTCATTCATTCGGTTCACATTCGTTAGTTTGGCTTGCTCCCATCAGATATGATGAGAGTGATTGTTACATGTTTGAAGCAAGTGGTAAAGTTAGAAAATGGGAAAAGGAAAAGACAGATTGAAGATATAAAGTATGAAATAGGAATATGTATTTAATTATGGAGGTGCAGAAACCTCTTTCTTTCTCAGTAAGCGAGGAGCAAAAAAAAAGCAATCTTTGTGTTGAAATGTGTTACAAAGCTGATATATGTCAAGATGGCAAATGAGGGGTTATGCAACGAAGAATTGTTTAAGAAGTGTTAAAAGAAGTGGTTGTGATTATGAGAGAAGGTTATGATGGTGAAGGTGGATTATGTTTGCTTGGCAAGGGAGAGGTCTAAGCTGTAGGAGTATATCTATAATTTATAGTACATAAATTGTTTCTAGCAGATATTCTGCACTGTACATTGTGGTTTGAGATACCTTCTCTGGGGTGCTTAAAAGGGACACTATAGTCACCAGAACCACTACAGCTTAATGTAGTTGTTCTGGTGTGTACAGTCTGTACCTGCAGGATTTTTATTTTAAATACTACCTTTTCAGACGGGCACTAGATTTGCTTCCTGGGTCAGTAGTGCACACGTGCAGCACTGACGTTCAGCATCTCCAGGCTCTGCATGGAGTTACTGAATGCTCCCCATAGAGATGCATTGATTCAATGCATCTCTAAGAGGAGATGTTGATTGGTGCAGTGCTGGGCTTTGCTGCGCATGCTCAATAGCCTCCCAATGCTTTGATGATTTCAGCCAAGGAGGCAGACCAGAACAGAGCCAGCTGCGGCGAGACCAGCGTGGCACTGGAAATAAGGTAAGTAAAATCACCTTTCTAATGGGGGGGTGGGGTGGCAAAGGTGGCCAGGCACCTAAACAGCTATTTTATAACTATGATAGAAGGAAAACATGTTTGTATTCCTGACACTATAGCGTTCCTTTAACATGGTGACATTGAAAATGACGTTCACTAGAAAAATACTTGAAAATATAAAAATACAGTGTAGTACTGTAAATACAACATTTGAAATATTAAGTTTTGTTCATATTTACCAGGAATATTCTAACATATTACTATAAAGAAGCATTGTGCAGACTCAGAGTTTCAGGAATTCCAACCTGTGCTATTTAGTGATTCCAATTTGGTTCTCTCGCACTAACAGCCCAATTATACAGAAAGTGAATGATTTAACATATAGTTAAAAAAAACAAAAACGTGTTTTTCTTTTCTTTTCTTTTTTTCCCTGCTCTGTTTAACTCAGTTTGGTGGGTATGTACACTGTCAGCAGCTCAGAGCTGGTAAATCGGCTCGTTCCCTGTGAGAGACACTGGCAGCCTTGTCTGATACTTTATGATCTCCAAGGGACACTTTATAATTCCGTATACCTTTACTTACATCAATTACAGCTTAAACACAGAGCTTCCCTTACACATTGCAGGTGCATTAAATCCTGCGCACGATGCACAAACCTTCCCGGAAGAGTGTGCTGCTGCATACTTAACTCTTCTATTACTGAGATAACGTAAGACCTACAATCACTGCACTGATGTGCGTAAACTGTCAATCTCTCGCACTGTAATAACTGCTATATCATAGGTTATATATTATATATATTATGAATATATTATAGGTTTAATAAGTTGTTCAGATTTTTCTTTTTTTTTTTTTTCAAATCCAATTTTTATTGTGAATGCAAGATAGAATCGACATTACATACATGGTAAGGTTTTTTTTTTTAAACATTTTCTCCTTATAAATAACACATACTGCAAACCTGCATAGGGAAAAGTAGGTAAGTCTCCGTATATGTCCTGAATTAAGTGGATAATTTAATAACTGAGTGTGTCACCACGATAATTAGTAAAATAATTTACGTAGTTCTGGGTCTCTCTGAATTGCCGAAACATTTGTATTTATGTCTCTGACGGGGAAGGAAATTATTTTTTTCTTATTCTTGTACTTTACAGTAAAGGATAATGTATCCAATAGACAAGAAGACATTTGACTCAGATATCTCAGTGAAGTTCAACTGAAAGAGAACACAGCAGTGGTGGATCTACCGCCTGTGCAGTTGGTGTGGCTGCACCAGGACCCACACAATAAGGGTGTCCATCAGGGTGGCCCATGCATGGGAGCTATAGTCCACAACACCTGGAGTGCAGAAGGTTGCCTACTGTTGACCATATACGTCAATGCTGCCATGCAACATAGAGTTTGGGGATTGGAGGGAGACCATACACACAACGATGCAAACACCCAAGCCGTGGAAACGCTGCCACCCCCACAGCTCGGGACTGAGACTCTCCTAGGGGATAAGTGATCTCATGACTCGACTACTGTATAAATCATCAAAATAAACACGGGGGGCACTAAGGTAAGCAACACCAGGTGAACTAGCGTGGAGTGGGAGGGGGGGAAAGAGCCAACACACAAAATCTAACAGAAGGGGGAGGGGGATAAAAGAGAGGAGGGAAAAGGGTGAGGAATAGAAAGATGTAGGGAGGGAGGGGGTGGAGAAAGAGGGGGTAAAACACACACACACAAAAATTACTTATAAAAAGGAGGGGGGGAGGGATCAGGGGGGAGGAGAATCACTCATAAATGAAGGGGGGTACGTGGTGGGTAGACGGTGCCAGGAGGGGCCAGACATACTATGCTCTGAGACTAGCACGTGTACACTCCACGGGGAGCACAAAAATACTAGCACATGCCCACAACTCGTCACCCATGCACGGTGCTCACATATCCTGCCATCCTAGCCGCTGAAAATCCTCACCCAAAAGTGCAGGGAATTGAACATTCCAGAATGCAGGACACACTTCCTCAGGGGACTGTGACAAAAACGGATTTCAATCGCATTCCTCCAGGAGACACACTTCCAGGAGGGCTCTGCACCTGCCCTAAAGGACAGAGCATACTCTCAGAACTTCTTCAGCAATCACCCTACCTCAAAAAAGTCGGGTGTCGCCATTCTCCTAACGACAAGGTTAGCATTTACAGTGACGGACCAGGTAGCCGACCCCGAGGGCAGATATGTAATCATAAAAGGAACCATCACAAACCGCACATATACATTAGCATGCATATACGTCCCCAACCAGAATCAGTCACAATTCATCTGCAAAACCTTGAATATCCTCTCGGAACGCTCATCTTAGGGGGCAACTTTAATGTCACACTAGACTCCAAGATAGACTCCTCATCTGGACATAGTAGTATCCCACAGAGGGCCATCCCAAGCGTGCAAAGGGCCTTTGGAAATGTACGTCTAGTGGATTGCTGGAGAACATTACACCCCACGACAAAGGATCACACACACACTACTTAAGGGTCCATGCGAGATACTCAAGGATCGACCTACTGTTCCTCCAACAGGAACAACTTCCTAAACTGCTGGAAGCAACCATTGAAGCGGCCACCTGGCCAACCAAGAATCGGTTACAAAGGAAATAGACTCGCGGTTCAAAAGACCCAAAGCATCAAACTGGAGACTTAATGAAATCCTGCTGGTGGATATAGAAATCAGGGAACAAATTATACAGGCACTGGGGTCCTACTTCTCAGACAATACGCCGGGTGAGACCTCCGATACCACAAATGGGAGGCACATAAAAGTGTCCTAAGATGCCTCATTGTCCAACTAGCAACAAAAAAAAAAGAAACGGGAAACCCTGCGGCAGATGGAAGACTTACTAACTACAATCAGGGACATCGAGGCGAGACACAAGATAACCCTTTTAGAGGATGATTATAGGGAACTGCTGGAACAAAGGCGAAAACTGCAGGCTCTGATCGCCCAGAAATACCATAGACATATACAGAGAGTCAAGGGATTTTTCTACACCCACACGAACAAGGGGAGTAAACTTCTGGCGCGAATGCTCTGAGGACAACAGATACATGCACAGGTACATAAACTGAAACTCACAGGGGGCAAAACAACACAACATCAGGAGATTATAGCGACAGAGTTCCGCACTTTTTACTCAAATTTATATAAGCTAGAACATCAGGACCCGTTGACTCAGCACCCATAAAAATAGAGGCAATACAACAATACCTCATTAACTTCCTACCTAAAACTGTGACCCGAGATGAGGCAGACTTCATGGATGCACCAATCTCGGAAGAAGAATTGAAGGCCGCAATCAAGATGGACCAGATAGGTTCTCGTTGGAGTATTACAAAAGATTCGGAGACACGCTTGTGGCGGAACTGGCCTCGCCACTGGGCATTGGAGAAGACTGATTGCCAGCCTCCTGCCCTGTGACTATGGCCCCATGTTGAAATGCTTGATTTCCCCCTGCAAAGACGCAAAAGCCGGGTCATTCGGTACTTTCCCTATTTGAACAGTGATACCCCAGATAGCTATGCCATGGAGCCCATTCGTAAAACGAAAGACTATGTGAAAGACTTTGGCTCCATGGCAATTGAACTGTATGTATGTGATCTGAGCGCCATTCAGTAATAATGTGCACTCAGATCTAACCTATCTGGGGATATGAATGTACCTGTTTTATGCAATAGCTGCACAGTTATATATATTTATGTATTTTATTGTCTTTTGCTACCATGTGGCTAATGGAGTTTTGCCTCTGTCCTTGGAGATAATTGGATTACTTCCCAATTATCTTCAGGATAGAAAACTCTGTGGAACCGGTTTTGGGCAGAATAGTGTGGGAGTGTCTGAGTGTATTGTACGTGTTTATTGGTTGTTTTACAAAACCCTCTGGGTGGTACTAATGTGTAAGAATGTGTATATAAGAACAATAAACCCACAGCTCTGGCAGTTCTACTTCACCCTCAGTTTGGAGTGCCGTCTCTTATTGGGGCAATCTGCTACAAGGGATTGCTATGCTTGTCATACTCCCTTGCTAAATCACTTCTAAGCTCTTGTAAGAGCTTGTTCCTGCTTTGCTCTCTGGAGGAGTCTACGGTGGTTATGGTGTCTGCTGCGGTGCTTGGAGTCCTCAGGAAGCGCTAGGAGCATCCTTGCCCGTCGATCCGTTACAACCCTCATCCCTAAACTAGCCAAGGCATTAAACGCGCTCACCACCGGAAGCAGGTTCCACGACGAAACACTGGCAGCAACAATAACCATTCTCCCCAAGCCTGGCAAGGACCTGGAACTCTGCAGCAACTACAGACCGATTTCCCTACTAAATGTGGATATTAAACTCTTCACCAACATCCTAGCTAGCAGACCAAATCTCCCTAGACTGGTCCACCAGGATCAACACGGGATTCATCCCAAGTAGAGAGGCCCGGGACAGCACGCTACAAGTGCTCTCCATACAGAACCTTGTGAGGAAAACGAGAGTACCCACGCTTTTGCTCTCCACTGACGTGGAGAAGGCCTTTGACCGAGTGGACTGGAAATTCTTAAAAGAGAAGCTCAAGAAGACGGGCTTTGGCCCTAGTCTTCTTGAATGGATAACAGCCTTATACAGTCAACCGAACTCGCAAGTGAGTGTGGATGGAACGCTCACTGACACTTTGCCAATCCGGAACGGCACCAGGCAGGGATGCCTCCTGTCTCCGCTGCTATTCGTCCTGTCACTGGAGCCCCTACTCAAAGTGATCTGATGCAGCAGGGATATCAGGGGCTTCACATTGCACAGAACCAAGCACAAAACAGCAGCATATGCGGATGACATGTTGTTCTTTGTCACGCACCCAGGATCTCCTTGCCATGCCTGATGCAAGAATTTATGAGCTACGGCTGACTCTCGGGCCTCAAACTAAATCTGGCAAAATGTGAGGTCCTTAACCTCATGGTCCCCAGCAGAGAGTATGACTCCCTACGCACACAGTACTGGTTTCACTGGTGTGAGTCCAAGATGAAATACCTTGGTCTTTGGCTCACAGCAGACCCGCAAGATCTGTATCAAACCAACTTCATACCACTCTTGACTACGATATTACAAGACCTCCATACTTGGAACTATCAACATATCTCGTGGATTGGCCGCATAGCGATCATAAAAATGAACATCCTACCCAGACACCTCTATCTCTTTTAAACACTGACAATGTCCCACCTGCTGCATTCTTCTCATCTCTCAGAAATGCAATCAAATACGTTTGGAATGGGAGTCGCCCGCGACTCAGGCATAAATTTCTCTGCCTGCCACGAAACCAGGGGTGTCTAGCTCTCCCAGACATACGGAAATATCAACACGCCTCCCCACTACAATGCAATTTAGAATGGCATTCAAGTCCACGACACAAACAATAGATTGAAATAGATGAGGTCAGAAGAGACACACACCTATATGCAGATAAATGGTCCACCCATTCTGGCAAATCGGAAGGCCCAGACTGAACATCCGCCACAGCACAAACCTTAAAAACATGGACCAACATGCGTCAGGCGACACACTTATCCCCAAAGCCGTCTGACCAACAACCGCTCGATAGGAATTGACGTCTAAAGCCTGGGGCTTCTTGGGCACACAGGCCTTCCTTCCCATACATGACGTCCTAGATGATAGGGAACTGAAATCAATAGCACAGCTGATCCCCGATCAAGCAACGTCACAACTACAGTCATTTCAATACACAGAATTACAGTATTTCTACAACTCACGCAAAGACAAACCATCCATTCACAGAGCACTCACGCACTTTTAAACACACACGGCAATAGGACTGACAAGACTGAATCTTTTCTCATCCAGACGGCACTCTCAACCGAACACTAATACACTGGACAGCACCACCCTACATACCACTGACACATTGTGGAGACGCAGCCCTCCAGTAACGTCCAGAATGCCACATTACAGTATTGATTGACACAGACGCACACTCAAAGGCATCACCACAACAATAGAAAAAGCCACACACTCTAGAACAGTTAACCGAACCAGACAACGCCAACACCTGCTCTGACCCCTACGTGTTGGCCCAACCTCAGCTTCACGGCTAGGAGACCCTGCACTGTCTGACCCGGTCCTGCCTCCACTACCTCTCCGATACCTCACAGGACAGATGGCACACCATGGGGAAAGGGGTCGGACCAGCAAAGGGACTTCTTGGCCCGGGATGCGTGATGTTGATGATCCTCACCAGACACACAAGGTCGATACGGGGGGGTGCGGTGAGAGGAGGGGCTTGGTATGAAGAGAAGCCACCACGCTCTGCAGTACTTCCCCTCTAGAAGACAGCTGGGGCTCCAAACTTACACAGAACATCAATGAACCACTGATGGATGAAACCCTAGCTCCTTTAGCCTCTATCCTGATCCCTCAACAACCAACAAAGGCCTGTATTACATAGCACATCACACACGCCACACATACATAAGCAATGGCGAACTGGGGCGGGGAGGGAGGCACGGGGTCGAGGCAACAACAGCAATCTCCGACACTCAACTCACAAATGTCCGTAGAAATGCCAATGGAAAAGTTTAATCAACCAAACATAATGACCCCTGGGTCCAATGAAGGGTGGTGCCCTGAACCTTTATGACCCAACTAAACTGGATGAGAGGCACCCACCACTCACACACATATCACATACAGAAGTGTAAAGGTCAGGGACCTGAGGGCATCCTCCCACTGACCTTCCTATTGCCAGACAAACAACCTGCAAGTCCCCACACTGTACCTTAGCCACAAGATCTGCGAGTCGAAGATAAGTAAGTGTGGTCAAAGCCGCTATTAGTACTAGTTAAAGATGAGCGTCCAGCCAGGACCCACTAGTACCACTACCAAGGCAGTCCCCTGGCGCCATCACAGTGTTAAGAGTCAAGCTATTTTCAAACAGTATGACACTTACCTGATTCTCCTGAGTGCCCACAGCCAAAAACCTCTTAAAAGATATCTCTAAACCAGAAGTTCCACTTTTAGTAATATCCATTTTGTCCCGCTTTGAAAGGAATTGATTGGCTGAGGAGTGTCAGTTGAGCCAATGAATTCCATCCAAAGATGGACGGAATTGTTATTCCTACTGCAAAAGTTGGAACACCCACTTTAGCTATGCCTTCAGTTTTGGAATTACATTTCAGATACCTGTTGTAGGCAAAATGTGAATGCTGTGGTTTGTATTTAATGTTGTGTGAGAATGCTAAGGGTAGTATATGAATGTTGTGTGTGAATGCTGTGGGTATTAACATGGAAAAATTGCTTATACCAACAATCTGAAAAGAAGTGCATCAGCCCATCAAACATGAACGGATTGCTAAAGATACATAGATCAAGACTAGAAGAATCCAATTGGTCCACTGGGACTGTTTCCCTGATTTTATGGGAAACCTCACAGCGGAACCTACTATTTACTAATTTTAAACAAAGTATCTTCCCAGTGCCTCCATTCATGCCAGCCATATTAGCCTCCTTAATATCATTAAGCATTTGTCCAGTTTGACAAACACAGCCATAACAGTCTGTCAGTTCTATCCAACATCCGTGATCCTTTTGTCTTTATTCTTTTACAAATCACAGTCTCACTACTTTTTCCGACAGTATTTATTCCATGGTCAATATTAAGTTTGTCAATTCCATGATATTTTCCTTTGCAATATAGACTATAGATATTTGCCAATGAGCTGTTCGCTTGTCTCTTTTTAGTGGTTTACAATCTCTTTCATATGTAAATGCTTTCTGAAACGTTTAAATTCCCACAACTTCGTCAAGTATTTCTATTTTCTAACCAGCCATTTACTTTAACAATATCAATATAGTTAACTCCTGATGACCCCACAAAAATAGTGTCCAAATAGGATTGTGCAAGCTAGATGATCGTGTAATCAGAAGTGGCATTTTAACTTTAAGTAAGTTGAATGACGTTGATTGGAATGTTGAACACCAACTTACTCTTTCTTCTCTGAACTTAACTCTTGTCTTTTCTTAATAATTATATTTCTGTAGTTGGATCCCATTGATCTGAATGGATGAGGAACATCTGGAATGGTAGCTTGAAACTTTCAGACCCCCGACTGGAACAACAGCTTTAAGAGGTGATGAATTTGCTGCCTTCAGACAAGGAGGACACACTTACTTTGGAAGATTCCTTATTGGTTCACCGCAGATGTTACAGGACCATTTGTTATAGGACTATTCGCAATGTCCTGAAAATCGACGCTTGGATCACTGAGCTCTCTTTGTAATGTTTTATTGACAAGCAGTCTTTATAAGCAGTTCACAGAAGTGCGCTGTGCGGTGGAAATCTATACAGCAACCTGTTAAGCCGAAGATCTAACATACTGAGAATAGCATAAATCTATAATGCAAAACAAAAAATAGATAAATAAAACTGTCTGAATTGTATTATGTTATTTTGTATAAAAGTAAAACCTATAAAAGGAACGTTGTGGTGCTGAATTCATTAGTAAATGTCTTGACAAGTAAAATTTGTGGATCGGGCAGCCATATATTTTGTGACTTACATTGACCATACTTTGTCAGGATCCTGTGCGTGAATGGTGAATGTGTTTGCATTTTAGATAAAGACTGGCGTCAGGTTAAAAATGCATGACTCTTGCAGTAAATGGTGCCGTACAGGCAAAGAAAGAGGACGTTAAAATCTGAATCCTACATTAGAGAAGTTTATAGGGATTATTTTAGAATGATGGGGCATAGACAAGAGACTTGAAAATTTTCAATTGCCAAATCGGAGAGTTTTTCTCTTTTCACCAATTCTCTGAGTCATCTTTTCTTCTACATCTGCTCTTTGGCCTAAAATTGCCAAAACTTTGCTAATGTTTCACACGGTGACAATACTTATAATTTACGGAAAAAATAAAAGCATCATATTTATTTTCAGTGAACCGTTTGTAAAGAAAGATGTGTGACATGTCCTTGTTTGAAACTGAAATTCTCAACTAAACTGAGTGACTTGCATGTGGCAATTTGTTGGATTCCATGAGTGTTCTTTTAGAGTTGGGCAGTTGTGTGAGGAGCTACTTACCTCTATTTCCCTGAGTCATCTTGAAGAACTCAGATGTGATCTTCCAGTAAGCATATGTTTTAATTTATCAATTTTAAGCAATTAAACAAAAAAAAAACTATAGATTATGTGTACGCCTACCTGAAACTTTCTTTGCCATCTAGATATTATGTGGTTGTCAGAGTTTCTTTCAAGGTTTACTCCAACCCTTTTGAGGTGGGGGTACCTTTACCGACTGGACAATATGGAAAATGTCCCCCTCCTCGATTTGCAGTTTAATGTGCAAAACAAAAGTTGACTTACCTGCAATCCTGCAGTCCTGCCGAAGCTGCCGGCATTGACTTCCACTACTTATCTGATTTCACAGGGGCCTCATGAGAAGCCTGTAATTGGATCGGTAAGGGAAGGGAGAAAGTGGGTTGGAGGAGGAAGGGAGGGTTTTTTTCAAATACTGTCTGCAACAGAGGGAGGCGGAAGAGAGTTAACAGTGGGAGAGAGGGATGAAGGGGGAAACTACCTTCCCCTTGCAGGTGCTGTGCCTCCAGTTGGAATATTTATATGTCTGTCGGCAGCATGCAGTGTGTGCTGACGACTAATGTTTTTATGCACAAAATTGACATTGTTAACATGGAGTTCTGGGTACAATTCACAATAACACAGTAAGTGCAGTGTGAATGCATATCTGGAGCTTCTAAGGAGACCAGGAAATAGCATGTTTTCCTGCGAATCCTGGTCCTCCAGTTGAGGTCTACAGAATGCTGCGCATGTCCCGTAAACCCTTAGTTCACAGCCACTGGAGACATCCTGCTTACACAAATCACTACAGGTTGGCACTAGACCATGTCTTCTATTCCCTCAATCGTAAATATTTAGAGAGGCATTAGGAATATTTACAGTGTCATTCCTAGCCAGTAGATTGTTAATTGCAAACATTTTTTTATAGTCATACCATGATGCATATATCAGCCTGTGCTTTCTGTACATCCCTATCCGTATAACGCACCCAATAATTCACAAGGTCAGAATTACTCTCCAATGACTGCTGTTAAGTCATTTTTGCCAATCCATATAATGACTCCCTGTAAGGCATTCTATGAGCACATAAATATTCATCTTTAATTCAAAATTTACTGCTTCTTCTGTGTGCATCCATTAAACTTTAAATGCTTTTACAATATAAAATATGCACTACGGCGTGGCCGTTCTCCTCACTGCGCTCTTCCATTCCCTATTTCTTTAAAGAGGGACAACCATTCATTTTAGGGTATCTAGCTGATGTAACCCTCTCTTCCCCTGTGCACTCGCCGCTAACAGAAATATCTTCATTATGAGACAGTTGTTTAAATAAACAAATTAATATTGATGAAGTGTCTTCACTGCTAATAAATGATCAGTTAAAGTCGTTCCATACATCACATTACCCAAGCCTATAGACACTACCTAATTACTTGTGGAGAAAGCTGCTTGCTGGGAGAAATTAGAAAACAAACCTTAACTGTGCTCAAGAGCTTGCACTCTACTCACACCTTTATTGCTCACTAGAACAAAACATAGTCGTCAGGTCCGACACTATAGTGCAAGGCTTGGGGGGTGGGTGGGTCTTATAAAATGCAATATATATATATTAACAATACTTTTGTTTGTGACTATAAAAGTTATATTGTTTAAATATTTATAGTGCTGTATATGTATTACATGAATCAGAAAACATAAATAATATAATATTGCGCATTTTGGATATGTATAATACATATAATCATTATAAATTATAGTTGCATAAAAATGTCAAATTATATTTCTTAATGAATGCAGATTAAATAGACGTTACATGAAGTCTCATGAGCGCTGGATTAATGAGCAATGAGGTTTGTTTTCCTATAAAAAGTGAATTAGAGATATTTCCTTTTTTTAATACATTTGTTTTCTAGATTAGAGGTTGTTTAAAGAGGCAGTCTAAGCAGTCGAAGCATCTTGCCAAAGCAGAATGGAAATGTTCACTTTTCACATATTCAAGAATGGATGGACTGAAGGCACATGGAGGTCCCAGGACCCACCTCATTACTGTGAGACAATGCTAAGAATCCCATGCACTATACCAACTACAGCGGGCTGCTCATTTATTTAGAAAATGTTGAACAAGCACATATAAAATCTGGTATATCAGAATTTAGTGACAATTCTGATCCAGGGACTGCACATACAAATCCAGGAATAGACATAGGTAGGTTGTGAGAAAGCATCCCTTATATCATGCTCAGTGTCAAATTAACATAGGGGCTAGTGGAGCTGAAGCTCCAGGCCTATGCCAGTGGAATAGTCTCATTAATCAAAAAAAAAAGAAGAAAATATTTAAAAAATAAAATAAGCATCGCTATTACATTCATGCTTTTGTTTGATGTTGTGAAGAGGGAACTGAGTATGGGAACTTAGAAGAGGTGCAGGGGACCAAAACATGTGTGGAATGTCTATAAAGTAGTTCTTGTAAAGCTAACTTTGTGCAATATGCAGCCTCACTTGCTGCTTCTATTTCCGTGACAGCCCTCCATGCTCTTGTCATTATGTGGCAGGGTAACATGTCCCCTTTCTGCCACACTCACTATGTCCACCTCTTTCTCTGTCCCAGACTGCTTCCCAGTAGCTTCTGACAACTAATAAGAAGGGAAGGAGAGGAGTGGGCAATTGAGTCTTGAACTGAGCAGATTTAGAGTTTGTGATTAGTGAGAGAGAGGATTCGAGTGCTGTCCAACTTGTAGGATGAACAGAAAGAATAGGTTGAGAGATGGAAGAGAGAGACTTACATAGGGTATGTATTCTTAAAACTGCATCCATCAAGTGGCCCTCCAACACCACCTCCATCAGATACAAGACACTTGGGAGGTAAGGCTATTATAGTGCGTTCTGTAACAGATCCCCTATACTCCAACTGAGTATATCGATTGTAAATCTCCCAAGTCCCATAGTGAAATAGTGATCATAGCTCTGATCTACCCAAATATCAGCTGAGACTTGATGAAGGGTACAAGAAGGAATGTTTTATTATGGGCCAGTGGCCAGCTTATATACACAGACCCCCAGCATGGGGTCTCCATTCCCTTGTACAGTAAGCCCGCCCAGGCACCTCTGTGTCTGGGAGATAAGAGAGCCTGCTTTTGCTTAATCTAATTATCTCCCAGGCACCAGAGGTACAAAATATTATACAAAAAACCCCAAAATACACATAACACATATATGAACTTCCACAAGCATTATATCCCCAGATAGCCTGGATCTGAGCGCCCAACATATCTAAATAGCACTCAGATCCCAACAACACAGCCGAATCGCCACCGGGTTAAATTTTGACCGACCGCACACGTGGTGTCTGCCTTAATTAGTTCCAGAGAAAAAGTGGAAGCGGTCGGTCACTTTCGGGAGTTCAGAAACGAATGAAATGTTGAACAGTTCCCCTGGCTCATAGGTAGCAATTGTTCACCTAGTTTGTTCGAGCAATCCTACCGAACAACGCTCTCATGTCTTGTCGGGATAAGAAGCAGGCGCAAGATCACTGAGGTTCGCACGAGGATGTATCCGACTTTGAGTTCCGCTGCCTGTGTTTGTGCTACAAGATGGTCGCCATTTTTCCACAGCATGTGTTGTTCGGTTATACAGAGAGAGAGCACATAAGTTTATGGTTAGTTTGTAATTAATGAGCAAGGGTGGTCTTGTTCGGTAGATTGTGGATGCCGAACTGGGGAAATGTACAAGGAAACTTACAACACGAACTATGAGGGAAATATCTTTAGTACAGGATAAATAGTGAGTTTGTTACACGTTCTATCAGAAACATTCTGTAATTAGGTCCATCATAAACATCAGCACCAGGCACAAAGGGCTTCTAATCCAGAACTGATTATGCCCAATGGACTAAGTCTGTTCTTTTGATTGGTAATATTTTATTTTTTCACTTCTTTAAGGAAGCAATCAAACTATTAACAATTTCCCTCCCCATAACCTAGTAATCCACCTTCTCACCAGCTACTGCATCATCTAACTTAGCTTCCATTGTAAACTCCTCTAGCAACCTACTATTCCAGTTCATGAAAAACATCTTACCCTCACCTTGTCATTTTACCCCACTGCACTTAGAATGTAAGGTGGTTTGAGTAGGGTGCTCA